TCTCTTTTTCCATTTCATTTCAAGACAGAGAGGAAATTGAACTTATAGATTTATAATTTATAATTACCCCCAAATGCTCGAGCAGTGTTGACAGCAATGTTGAAAAATACAAATACAGATTTCACTGCTCTGCTTACTAAAAAAAGTTTTATATAAGGTGTGTTCTTTGTACTATGACAGTTTTCCTGTTTTCATGTGTTTTGTTTTGAGTGAAATTAACATGAGCACTTTTTAGAGTTAAGTCAGGTTGATAGATAACCTTTAAAGCGAAACCAAAGTTAAACTGTTGGCTACACGAATGCCAATACTTTGATTTGATCTCTATTAATTTAACATCTAAAATATATTCATGTGTACCTTGTCAAACACTGTGCTACACATACACATTAAAAATGTTTGTTTCCAACTTTACAACAAAGTTAGATTAAAACAGACTTTCAATTGTGGTCCTCCTCTTTCGAAAAAAAAAAAAAGGGGGAAACAATATGTTTATGTAGTTTTGCGTGATAAGGTAAAAGTTACTAATTACTTTCCAAATTATTATTTTTTATTATTATTTAGAAAATCTCTCCTTAAAATGAAATGTATTCTTTAAACTGTTGTTTGTGCAGGGCTACTGGTGATTCCTATATTCTCTAAAAGTAGAACAGGAGCCAGAGCCTTCAGTTACCAAGCTCCTCTCCTGTGGAACCAGCTTCCAGTTGTGGTTCTGGAGGCAGACACCCTCTCCACATTCAAGAGTAGGCTTAAGACATTCCTCTTTGATAAAGCTTATAGTTAGGGCTGGATCAGGTGAGTCCTGAATCATCCCTTAGTTATGCTGCTATAGGCCTAGACTATCGGGGAATTTCCCATGGTGCACTGAGCTCCTCTCTTCCTCTCCCACTCTTTCTGCACTCATTCATGTCCCATTAATGCATGTTACTAACTTCACTTCTTCCCCGGAGTTCTTGTGCTTTCTCGTCTCGCAGGTTCTTGTCGATCCTGGTGGAGCCTCCTGCCATGGTCCTGCTAGATTGCCATTGCTAATATCACTGATATTATTATTATTATTATTATTATTATTATTATTATTAATATTATTATTACTACAGTTACTATTAATACTATAGTCACTGCTCATTGTCTCTCTCTCTCTCTCTCTCTCTCTCTCTCTCTCTCTCTCTCTCTCTCTCTCTGTCTCACCCCAACTGGTTGAGGCAGACGACCACCCACCTAGAGCCGAAGGGTCTGTCCGAGGTTTCTGCCTCTTAAAAGGAAGTTTTTCCTTACCCCCTTTGCCAAGTGCTTGCTCATGGTGGGAACTGATGGGTCTCTGTAAATAATGTTATAAGGAGTTCAGTCTAGACATGCTCTATTTGAAAAGTGTCCTGGAATAACTTTTGTTACGAATTAGAGCTATACAAAAAAATGTAATTGAATTGAATAAAGGCCTGAACAAAAACAACCAATCAGAGCCAAGGAAGACAGGTGATTATTAAGTGTCATTCCTAGGTCGTCAGATACCCAAATCTTTGGGTATGGGGCTTGACAACAGTAGATTGTTAAGCCTCATTTGCAAAGCGTAAATCTTATGCGACCTGGGATCTTCTTTCTCAATTGTGATTGGTTGTTTTCAGGCCCAGTGGATTCTTACAGTTGCCATTAGGAGCACTAGGAGGAGCCAGAGGAACCAGATTTTTTCACAGATTATCTGTCTCAAGTACTACTGTCAGGATATAGTGAAAGCAAATATTATTTATTATTATTATATCATATTATTTTATTTTTATAAATTTATTTTTATAAAAGTTACCTACTGCAGCTTGAATTTGGAGGACTTGTTAAAAGTGAGCCATGTAGCCTATCACCATCCCCTTCCCTCTCTGTTAAATATTAAGATTAAGAAAGTTCATTTGATGACTGAATTGCATCATGCACAACTTTGGATCATGCACACATTTAGCAAGCTAATGAAAGCCACCCACATTTGATTTAAGGATAACTTTTTCTGGCAGCATCTACTCCGAGCAGTAGCTCTAAAGAAAGGGTGTGGGAGTGATAAAGGGTTGAGAGACTTTAGGTTTAGGTGTTTTCATGGGATTTATACACAGTAACAAAAAGCATAGACTGCCATGAGCGTCATCCTTTAACAGACATGTGCACACACTGGCTCTTACAGGCTGTTTTTAGAAGTGTGTAAACCTGTAACTGCTTCACGTCTAAGATGGATCATTATATTGGGAAATTTACTTTTCCCATTACATATTTGCAGTTCACTGTTATTCCAACAGATGGCAACCTAAGACAAGATCATGCCATGAAAGAACAGCATGCTGAGATGGAAACATGCATGGTATACTGTGTATTAAACACACATACTGACAGGTCTACAAATGCGTCATTTATAATTAATTTAATATGATAACAGGACAAAAAAAATCATCAAAGAAAATCACACATGTAAAGAAACACACACACACACACACACACACACACACACACACACACACACACACACACTGTAATCACCTCTTACTCTCATGAGGTGTTTAACAGCTGCATGAGGCTTTTAAAAGGAGTGCAGTCATGCAGATATTCATACACAATATTCACAAACCCTCACTCCTTTCTCTCTCTCTCTCCCTCCCTCTCTCTCTCTCTCCCCTTGTCTCTCTGAAAACACCTCATTTCTCAAGAGGCGTCCCCTCGCTGTGTACAAGTCTATTTTCTTCCACTGATATGTCCTCACTTCAGCAGCCACACTGCACCTTTTGCTCTCACTCTGCCGATTTTAGCACACACACACACACTGGCACACATAAATCCCCACACACTCGCACACATGAAAATACACACACACACACACCCACAGCTTGTCAACTCCCCTGCTGCTGCAAACAGATGACAGCAGGCCTCGGAATGAAGAAAGATAGTCTGAGTGCTGGAGAAGTGAGGGCAAAAATGTTTGTTTAGACAGCATCCAGATGTGCTACGTGTGTTCTAAGCCTACACGGTGGCCAGAAGATATGACAGAAAGTATGAACCCAGTGCATCAATAATCAGATTTGATGAACTGTCAAGCATGTTGAAACATAATGGAACATGCTTTTGTCCTCTGCTATAAATCTTTTTTGTCAAACTCAAAAACAACTTGCCTTCTGTGGCTATAGTGACCATCATACACAACAGTCTTTGTATGTTCCACCTCTAAAACATACACTCTGTCAGAGGCCACTGTCCTGGCCTAGTTTTCCATGAATATGCTCGCTTGAGGGCAGATGCGTTTCTCCCCAGAGTGAGTAATGGAGCTTTTAATGGACAGAGAATGAAGGCTTCAATAGTTAAGGCAACATCTGGCCTCGAAGGAAAAAGGACGTCTGAATAAAGAACGCACAAGTGGCTCCTGTAATGCACTCTGCAGTACAGCCGTCATTTGATCCTTTTCATGTGGAGATATCCTGTAGTGTATGTAGGACCGAAACTCAGTGTTGATAAAAAGTCGATCTATGCACTCTGAAGTCGATAAAACAATAGGCGAAAAGTTGACCCATTGACACACTTTGAATGACAGCTGCCTGATTTGCATAATGAAGCAGAAATGTATGAAGACATGTAAAAAGAAATAAATACGTTTGCAGAAATGAATAGGGGGAAATACAAAGGGAAACTAATACAGAAATAAATCAATTGATAGAACAATTAAATTGGAAGGTAAAAAAGTAGGGGAAACTAACTAAATACAGATGCAAAAAAACACATTTCAATAAATGAATACATTCATTAATTATCTTTGGTGTATTTAATGCTCCCCTGACTTTAGCTCTGGCAGCACGGGTCTTTTTAGGTGTGATAAACTAAAAAGGAATGGAAACTTTGGAAACTGCTCAGTGGCATATGAAGCCAATGAAGTTTCAAACTTGAATTGAAAATTACGTATTATGTGTTCCATAGAGCATGTGCACCAGAAACTTATGCCAGATGAGCCAGCTAACTTCCAGTTTAGCTGTCTGCTAACTTCAATGAGGATAAAATGATTTAATCGTGCAGCTCGTGTAGACTTTCCAGATGTTATCCGACCAAATGTCTGAAATTCCGATGCAGGGTTGTCAAGAAAATGTATCGACTGTTTTAAAACTACTTCATTCACAATGTGAGCTTATGAAAAATGTATTTTTGGGCCAGTGTGCATCACCTGATGTTGTCATTACACAGTTTGGCCACTGTGTCACATTGGCTTCAATTCCCGGTGCTCTGACTGGGGGCTTGAAATTTCCAAGCTCCCAAGGATTTTTTTGTGCAGCGTTTTGTCCTGGAAACGCTGCACATTTTACCGTAGTACATGAATAAGAAAACTTTGACTTTGGTTTCATCAAAAGATATATCATAAAAAATATAAAGACACTGATAAAAGTATAATTTACGACACACCAGTTTACACTTTATACAAATCACACAGTGAAGATATTTCTATTTTTACACCACTGTTCACATGTAACCCACATACATGCAAATGTGTTTTTGGACATTTTACATTGTGATGACTGCTCATGTGATATATGACACGTGTGACATTTTAAATAAAGAAAATAATCTCAGGATCTGGACTGATGTGCTAAAATATACAATTTAAGATGTTCTGACAGGGATCACATATATGTTTTCTAAGCTGACTTAAAGGATTAGTTGGGCTTTAGCTTCATTGCATTGACTAAAGGCTATTGTAAATTAGCTGGAATATAACAGGACTAGAGTATTTTGACTTCAGGTTTGACTCCATCCACTCTTTCACCTCCCACAGTAACACTGGGGTCCCTGAGTTTAAAAACGTTTATCAAACAGGGGTCCTTCTCATGAAAACGCTCATGTTTCATCCAAACGTGAGGGGATATGTGTTGGTCTAATTTCAAATTCAAGGTGAACAGGGGCGGAGACGCGCTTTGATGCAAACGTCCCCCCGCTGATGCTGCTCCTGCTGTGCCCGCGCACGTGAACGCGCCCCCATCGCTGTCATCAGTACAACATCAGCATCTTCCGGGGGGCGCGCAGAGAAACGGGAGGAGGAGGACGGAGAAAGAGAGAGAGTAAGAGAGAGAAAGAGAGAGAGGGGGAGAGAGAGAGAGGGAGAGGAGACATACTGGATAAAGGCTACGACAAAAACCATGATGATAATGGAGTCGAGGCGGTGGAGGATGTCGGATTTACGAGAAAGGACTGTTGAAATTTGACAGAGGGTCCGTGTTGAAACCTGTTCTCGATTTTTTTTTTTTTTTAATTCACCCCCCCCCGTTTGATTTCCACATGCTGCGTGGACAGTGAAGGCGAGCAGAGGAAGGGGAGCACCCCACGGATGCCTCGGAAGGTAAAAACGGGGTCCACCGCTGGCGCTACAGGCAACGAGACGCATCTCATCTCACGGATGGTAATAAAGGACATCCCGAAGATAGCAGTGGACTAATGGATGAGGATGAAAAACAGCTTTAACCCCCCCTCCACCCGACCACTGTGAAATAAAGAGAATCCTGTTTTGATGGGTTTTTTTAATCATTCATGGTGTAGCCCCAAGGAAACGAGCCTTAGACAGCAATGTTGAATCACTGGTCTTGGTAAATTATTCATTAGTGGTATAGGTAGGCTATGATTTTGTATTGCTTCAATGTAGCATTTTCCCTCTTTCATTTTTACAATGCTTAGTCCTGTCACATCATATGCATATTTGCAGGTTACATTTGTACCGTGTAGGCCCATTGAATAGCCTTTAACAGCCACACAAGAAACAGCCAAAGCGGGAGAAATATTAGCGCAGGAAAGCTTTGACAGAGAGAAGGGACAAAAAATAACACAAGATCTGGGCAGTGAGGGGTGTGGAGCTGTCTGGGAATTTTTTTAAAGATTTACATTTTTTCTTGCAAGAGTCTAAAGAGGAGGAGGACGGGGGGTGGAAAGAGAGATATAAGGAGAACAAACACAAAAAAAAAAAAACAAACAAACAAACAAACAAAAAAAAAAAAAAACGACCAAACATGTTGCCTTCTCAAGAAGCCTCCAAGATCTACCATGACAATTATATGCGCAACTCCCGGGCCATCGGGGTGCTGTGGGCCATCTTCACCATCTGCTTCGCCATCGTCAACGTGGTGGTGTTCATCCAGCCCTACTGGATCGGCGACAGCGTCAACACGCCGCAGGCCGGCTACTTCGGCCTCTTCCACTACTGCGTGGGCACCGGGCCGTCGCCCAGCCGGGAGCTCACCTGCGTGGGCAGCTTCTCCGACTTCAGCTCCATCCCGTCCGGAGCCTTCAAGGCGGCCTCGGTGTTCGTGCTGCTGTCCATGGTGCTGATCCTCAGCTGCATCGCCTGTATGGCGCTCTTCTTCTTCTGCAACACCTCCACCGTTTACAAGACCTGCGCCTGGATGCAGCTGCTGTGCGGTAGGCACTCTTGCAACTGCTGTCGCTTACAGCATACACTATGTCTCTGGCTTTTCTGTCACAAAGATGAAAACAACAAACAAAAAACAAGGTCCCGGAATTAGTCAAAACCCACCCAAAACTCAACAGACCCTCATGTTGTATTCGCAGTAGGCAGACAGGCACCAGAGTGTTGTTGCTGTGATCTTATTTTAAATGAAAACAATCTTCTTTTGATGGAGCCTTAAGATGATCAGTCACCTTTACATACACCAATATTATTTCAGAAGCCTTTTGTTTGCCCCCTAAATCCACCAGAATCTCCCTATTGTGCACACAAGGCAATAAAATGACCCTAGATACATTTTTCAATGCTTGTGAAAATGATAAAAAAAATTATGTCATAATGCACACAAAACAGCACTAAACTGTAAATTCCCACACAAAGTCTATTGTAGGGACACCATCAAACATCATTAGGGACGCCTGAGGTCAGTATATTGAGCATCACTGGCTCACTGCCCTATAGAAACATCATAGAAATAGAAATATGGTGTTTGTGCAGCAGTCTCATTGTCTGTTTCTTCCCTAGAAACAATATGCTGTAGTCTAAAGGGTATAGGCCACGTCTTGTTACAGTTAATTAGGAGTGTTGTACAGATTTTTCCATTTCTGCAACAACAGAACTGAGACAGTAGGAGTACATTTGGCCGATTATTCACGCTGCTGAAACGCACTGAAAGCAATAACAGGCCCAGAGCTCCCCTGCTGCCATTGATATTCTGAGGATACACCACTGTATCTATAAAGAAAGCAGCAGCAGCAGGATCACAGCTTTATGCTGATGAAATGCAAATGTCATTCATTCATCCATTTCAGCTCATCGTATATGGTGCGGTGTGATGTGCTGTACGATGCAGTGGAGTTATGAGTTCATTCCCCTGAGACTGAGACTTGCATTGTGGCCGTATTGCTATTTTGAGGTGATGATTCCAGGTTGATTGGATTACTGGTTTTAGGGTGGTGATGTTTCGTCTCCTGCTCTTGTGGGTAGATTACAGTTTGTAGGCATGATTGAGGATAAAGGTTGGCTTCCCAGCACATCCAGGACGCGTACTGAATCATGTTACCTTCATGGACAACTGGATAGTAGGTTCAGTTTAGATCTGTGCAGGTGGCGGAGCCAATGTTTGGGATTTAAAAAATCTAAGCAAATAGCCAAAAAATGCCAATCAAAAGCTCCCAAAGCTCCCAAAGACATCTTTAAATGTCTTCTTTTGTCTGACCAACAGTGCATAACCCAAATATATTCAGTTTACTATCCCAGAAGGCAAGAAAAGCAGCCAATATTGACATTTAAGAAGCTGGGGAATGAGAGAATTTCTTGCCATTTTTGCTTAAAAAATTAATTAAACGATTCATCAGTTCCGAAAATAGTTGCCGACTATTGTCTGTTTATCAAGTAACTGATTAATTGACAAATCATTTCACTGTAAAACCTGAGAAGTTTGTTTAAGTCAAAAAATTGTTGAAACTGATTACATTAAAAATGTTTAGTAACACATACTAAATTTTCTTGATTAAGCAGCTTTTATTGGTAATTTTAAGTGACACTGACTGTACTGTATAAACAGAAATACCTAGTTAAAAGAACCAGGAATGTTTCTGTAACTTACAAAACTAAGCTAGTGTAACTTAAAAAATATTGTAAAAAGCTGCAATGACCCTTAAAAATATTCAGACATTGACATTTGAGTATTAAAATATCCTTAATAGATAGAACATAAATAAAACCACACAACAAAAACAATTAATCAAATGGACTCTCGGGCAATATAGTGATGGTAGGGAAAAGGACTGCTGTTTATTCTGGCATTATGTTGGATAAAATGTTGGTGACATTTTTAAACAATAAGTTGATAATTACATATCGTATATATATCGTACGATAGTCGAGAATGTAATTATTGTGACAGGGCTAAGCTCTACTTTCCTGTGTTTTCTGAACAGCCCACACAGGAACATTATGAGCTTTGCTCCGATTTATTCGTGCAGCCTTTATCAATTTCTGCTGCTTTTCAGTGCTGTTTCGTGCTTTTTTGCAACAAAATACAAGATTATTGTGTAAAGGAAAAAGGCTGCGACAACAGTTTAATCTATGGTGATTAGATGTCACAAGGCCAAGTGAGTAAAATGACCATGTCAGCAAGACTTAACCATTGAGTACCGAGAGCAGCGTGCATCTGTCAGAAGGTGCAAAGACAATCATGATCTCTCACATATGCATATTTTCTCGCCAGCCTCCTGTGTATATCTGACTTCTTTTATAAGCTTCTTCTTCTGCTTCTTTATAAGCTGATCAATGTGATAAATAGGCCAGGCAGAATAGCGTGGGAGTTAGTTTTCTGTACAGAAACAGTCAGCATACTGAATGAGAGGGAGGGAGAAAGAAAGAGAGAGACACAGAGAGTGAGAGAGAGAGAGAGAGAGAGAGAGAGAGAGAGAGAGAGAGAGAGAGATCAGCACTTTTTTTTCCTTCTGTATTGTTCTTTTCCTCATCCTCATCTGCCCACTCTGTCCTCTGTTCTGCCGAGTGTGTTGAAAGGCTTTGGTGCTCTACAATCAGCACGAATCAGACAGAACAGCAGAGGGTACAGATTTTACTCTCTTTAGCTACATTTTCATGACTTAACAGGAATTGAACCACGAACCATTAATCAAGAAAAACGCTGGTTAAAAGCAGCAGTGGAAGAAGTATTGAAGCAATGTAAAATAAAGGAAAGTTTGTGCATTTTATGATCCCACTTAAGAAAAAGTACAAAGGTTTCATCAGTGGAATGCACTTAAAGTATCAAAAGTAAAACCTATTCAAAAACATCCAATTGTTGATACTGATGAATCAATGCAAATGTAGCATGTGGGTGTTGTAGCTGGTCAAGGTGGAGCTGGTTTTAGATTAGTCCAGATTATTTCTTGTTTAGGGAACTTTTTATCCAAATCTCTGTCTATATTATGTATTTACTTATAATTTTTCAACAATCACACAGACTTACTAGGCTTATTTTTTGACAAATGTAGTGTTTTCTTGTCCATGACGCTTGGTCATTGTTCTATTAGACAACTTACTTTACTTTTAAAAAAATAACTAAATGCTGAGATATAGGCCTACTATGTATAATTTTTGTATAATTTTTACACACCTTAAAATTAAGAAGGCCTCATGACCCCCTATGAAGCTTTGGCCATGCCTAGTGTGGGTCCCAACTCGCAGGTTGAAAGGTTAAAAATGACATCTATATACAACTAATTTGCAACAGCAGATATGTTTGCTGAAGAAACTGCCAATTAAAAAATTTTTTGATGCTTAACTGTTAGAAACATTTTCACTGACAATGTATTTTCCACCAGAACATACAATGTTGCAATACACTATCCACTTATAGTGACTACAGCATTAAAGGGCTGGAGTCTGTCATCCACCCAACTATACCTCCATGAGACTCCACAGCGTTACGTAAATGTGGTGTTTCAAAACACATTGTCTCTGAACATAAGGCAGGTATTAAGTTGTCACCACAAGCTAATTATGACAACATTTTAGTATTATACAAATGTAATGTCTAGAAGACATGGCCCTAAATAGACACTGCTTTTTGTTAAGGGGTATAAAGCCACAAAGGTTGGAAACCTCTGGATTATTCTTTAACAGTGTGTTGTATTCTCTAACTGTATCATGTGTTTATGTTGTAAATGTAGTTGAGTAAAAACTACAATATAGTAGTATGTATGTAGGAGAGTAGAAGAATAAAGTGTAAAAACTGAAATGATCAATCCCCCCACATTCCCACCCTCCATCACCATGTAGCTGAAAGGGTTAGAGGTCCATCTCTGCATGGCAGGAAGGCAAAAGACAGATATTTTATTTATGGCTCATATATGAAAACACAAAATGAAGACCACATTTTGATTTCCATATTTTTCTAGATGGATTTTGATGGAATTCAGTCTTATTGTTAGTGTTCAAAATCTCTGTTAGTCATAAAAAAGCATCTTGCAACCATGCATCTTAATCTCATTTTCCTATAATTTAAGTAAGCTGTATTAACTTCTACTTAGCTTAAGTAGATCTTTACAATTCATACTTTTTTTCTTTATAAGTACAATTTCAGAAAAGTAGCAGCATGTCTTCTTGATTTGGATATTTTTGACTACTCACATATACCCTAATAAAATATACCACTAATTTTTATCCTCAAACTAAATTTATATCTGCTTTCCCTCTAATTTGCTGGTACATGTCAGAGTTTGGGAAACTTCAGAAGGTTTTACTGTCCTTCCAGTGGATGCGTATGATGTGTGGCGGAGGTAAGTTGTCTAATAGGCTTGGCAGACAGCCTAATGCTGTTCACCACCTTGGAGATGATCATTTAATCATCCGCTCTGCCCTGCTGGGTGTAGCAGCAGGTCTCCTGGCACTGCACGGTGACAGAGTGTACCACAGCAAATGCAGTAAGGGCCAATTTGAACTGCTGGTGGCCTAGATTTAGGCCAAATGGACCAAAAGTGTCAATTAGGGAGCAGTTTGGGCCCTGATCATGATGGTCTGCTTGGAAAGAAATATTCATTATCTAGTCACCCTCATGTCAGCTGAAACTATAGTAAAGTTTGAACGTCCACATAGGACAGCAATTTTAGTGGCGTAGCTTAATGTCAGAATTCTTGGTAAATGGTTCTTCCAGTTTCAACAATCAAACCAAAAAACTAGAGGGGAAAACAGAGAGTGCAGACCTTTACCAAGACCAATAGTCCAGTCGTCTATCATATGTGAATCTGTGGACCATTCAATTTAACAGGTTTCGCGCAGGGCAGAAAATCCACAGAAAAATAATTGTATTATCTGTCTGTCACTCAAATTTAATGGATTCCTCCTTGGTCCATCCTACTCCCTTCCACCAAGTTGAATGAAAATGCGGCCTGCAGTTTTCCCCATAATTCTTCGGACAGACAAACAAACCCACCAT